GGATGACTAGGAATGGGGAAAAAAATAAGAACCAAGATGTACCATGTAAAGGTACAAGTTCCCAATGAGAAATGTAATTGTGTTGTATACCTACAATGTACCAATAAAAGAATTTAACAAAAAAAATGCAAAAATAAAAGCACATGGAAATAGTAAAAGATCAGATTTCATTGCCTAATTGATACATAGTACCTCATTGGGCATTGAAATTTTTTTGACTAATGTTTGTCAAATGTACCAAGTACCAGGTTCTGTTCTATGTACATAAAATATACCAGTGAACAAAGTAAATGGAATCCTGACTGTAATAAAGCTTAAATTCTAATAATTAGAGACATACCCAGATAGATAAACAGAAGCATTTATTGTGGGTCAGAAAAAAAATTCATGAGAAAAATGCATGAGCAACAGGGGAATACAAAGTGGTGGATGGTGTAGGGCTATAGGGAAAGCTTCTTTGAAATGATGAAATCAGAAAACAAAGAGGAGACACAATGGGGGAGTGAACCTCATGGTTCTCATGAAGGAAGTGCCCTACACCAGGTTACAGCAAGGACAAATGACCAGGGGCAGGAATGTGCCAAATGTGTTTAAAAATTGCATGAGGAAAGGGTGCATAGAGGAGATCAACAGAGGAAAAAATAGCAGAGATAGCTTAAAGAAATGGTAAAGTACTTGAACAAGAGGGCTTTGGTGGTAGCATAGTAAAGATTTTTAAAATTTGTATCCTAAGTGAGAATGAAATCCCTTCAAATGCTTTTAAACAGATAAGTAATATTCCTTATGTGGCCAAAATATATGGCAAGTGTTAAAACAATTTATTATAGTAAAAGATACATTGCCATTAATCCCCTTTAAATGTTTCCCTCACTTGGAACATTCCTATCCCTTGTTCTTACTACTGTAGACAGTTAAGTTAATTAGAAATATTATAGGCAGTCAGATAGGACTAGACCTTGGAAGAAGTCAGTACAGATGACACTTGTGGCTGGAGGTGCATGCATTGAAGGCCAAACTTCAAGACAAAGAGAATTGACTACACCCATTTACTTTCCCTAGAGATTAACAGCAATGATTAATATTCTAAATAGGCAGCAGTCACCTGAGTGGGGGACCAAGACCTTTACCCATCCCTTCCAGGAAAGTCCTCTGTCCATGTATCCTTCCTATGTGTCTTTCTTCCCTATTTCATCTCTGTTTAATCAATATTACCTAAGTGACTATACTTACAATCTTATTAGTTGACCATATAAGTCTTGCCCCACCTTCTACCCACCTTGTGATTTTCCACTGGATCAATATTGCCTAAGCAATTATACTTGTAATGTTATTAGTTGGCTATAGTTTCGTCCCACCTTATAACCACCTAACATCTATAAAGCTTCCTTGAGAAGCAGGATTCCTGACAACCCACTTTTCAGGCTCCCTTCTGTCTTTCTTAGACAGAAGCTATCTTTATCTCAATAAATTCTTACTATTCTTAACATCCATTGTTCTTAAAATTCATCTTCTATTTTAGAGAACATGAACTCAGCATGTGAGACATCTAGCAGGTTTGGAGTTATACTTCCCTTATATTACTTGGAAGTCCATATATCATATTCCTATATCACTACCATTTTTGAAGGAAATCTGGAAGTGTTCTTTAATGTTATCAAAAATACAGTGAATTCTGCTGCCTGGTGATGTCCCATGGCTGGCTAGTAATCATGGTACATCCTCAGCCACCTTATTTACCAGATCTGTGTGTTTTTTGGGGGTTTTTTTGGGTACCGGGGATCGAACTCAGGACCTTGCACTTGAGAGGCAGCCCACGGCACCACTGAGCTAAATCCCCAGCTATTTACCAGACCTGGAACTATGTGACTGCTGATTCTTCCTCAAAGTCAAAACTACCATCAAACTTAAACATTTTGAATTGAATCAGGACATGGAGGCAGCCATGACAGCACAACTAAAGACACTAATAAAGAGGACTTCCAGGACTGATTCAGAAAAGTCAAGAATGATGGAATAGTTGTGTTTTAGCAAGAGGGAGTTTGAAGGAATTTAATGACAGTATATTTTTTACTGTAATAATTTTTAAACATTTAAATATTCATCATATACTTCATTCATACTTGATGACCTTTGTTTTAACAGGTTACTTTCAGTATTATTTCCTGAATACGTTACAGAATATACAGATGGAAGTGAAGCCTGGCAAGTTAATGGGGAAGAATAGGGAAGAAATATGATGAGGGATAGGATGAAGGCTGAACAACATAAGGATCCTCACCTTCTGTTCTTTTGCTCTCCTACAGAAACCACAGGCAGCCTTCATCATTCAAGAAGGATATTTGCAAGTAAGCACATGTATTTAATGCTTTGTATTTCAATAAAAAATCTAAAACAAGTGTCTTGTCAGCCTATCTCTCACATCCTAATGAAAAGTACAGGAATCTCATTGTAATACAAATGAAAACAAATTGTTCCTATAGGAGACTAGTCATCTCTCTTGTCTTCTTTATATTCCATCTCCCAGCTTCTTCAGAGGTGCTAGTTTTCACACACAAAAAAGCAAACAAACAAAAGAAAGAAAAAACAAACATAAAACCACTGGACTAGACACTATATGTGGTAAGAGAGTCTTTGTGGATATAATTCAGTTTACTGATTAATTGGCCATAAAATAAGAAGGCTCCCCTGGATTATCTCTTGCTTGGTCCCAATGGAATCATGTAATTGTTTAAAAGTAGGGATCCCTCTCCAACTGGTAGCATAAGAGATCCAACCAAAGCTGAGCTAGACAGACTTCATGTGTGAGGACTTGACATAGTCTTATAGGTACTCAGAAAGTATGGGGCTTTGTATGTACAAGGATCAGAGAGTCAAAGGTCATGTGGTATTCACAGCCAGGAAGGAAATGGTTTCTGTTTTGTAACTTGGGTGAAATCAGTTCAGCCAGCAACCTGAATGAGCCTTAAAAAAATGATTGTCTAGATCAAAGAGTCTGTATTGGAATGCTGAAAAGTCTGTGCTGGAAGTCTGAAGGAATTTGAGACCAATGTCAAAAGGCAAAGGCCACCCACATACAAGGTGGGTCCTCTTCAGTTTTTTGGCCTACATGTTGATCACTCACAGATACATCTAGAGTGTGACTAATCTGGGTGATTCTCATTGAAGTTTAGTTGACATATCACAATGAAGGATCCCTTTGTATGATTCCAGTCATATAAGGTACCATAAGTAGTTGAATTCAGAAAGAAAGTAGAATGGTGATTTCAGAGGCTGACTGAAGTGGAAATGGTAAGAGACTGTTTGATAACTAGAATGTGTCAGTTTTTCAAGATGAAATGATCTTTGGAGATGAATGGTAATGGTGGTACACAAGACTGTGAAGTGTTTCTTGTCACTGAACCAGATACTGAAAACATGGTTACACTGTTAAATTTTATGTTGAGTGTATTATATCACAATTGAAAATAAAAAAGTCTTTGTACTTAATTTTGGTGGCAAAGTTTGCAGTACTCTGGCTTGACTTTCTATTCAAAACTTATTAAAGATTCTTTTTCCATGCATTTAATTTTGTATGGCTTTCTCATTTCTTTCTTATTCTTAATTCTTATCCTGAAGGGAAGGTGAAGTAAATATGTTACAGGCACATTTTGGTTACAACCTAAGATTCAGGGACCTGAAAGTATCTCAGAAATTTAAAATAAATACAAACTTCTTAAGAAACAATAATCATAAACACATATAAGTAGGTATAATCATTATTTATAAAACTATATATATGTTTTGCCTACAAAGACAGTACAAACTCAATGGTCATTTCAATTGTATATCCAATGCCAGTGTGAGGAGCCAAGATTAGTGAGTCACAGTGTAAAAGAAATAATCTTGAAGAAGTAGTTTGAAAAAGACTATTTCTTATTAGGTTTTATGAATATTCCTGCGTGCAGTCTTGCCATTGGTGAAGGAAATGGGAGGAGGAAAAAAGGAGTGAGGGAGAAAATGAGCTATGCTTTCACAGCACCTGCGAAGGAAAGATAAAGGGCAGAAGACTTTGGAGCTCTATTACTATCTGCTATTATTTTGCTAATCTTATCCAAATTTTCTGTTTCAAATAAATCTCTCACCTGCTTATTTCTCATTCTTCTCCTTCCCATTCAATCCAAGCTAAAATGTTAATACATCAGTATCTGTGAAGGTCATTGGGTAACGGTAATGTAATTGAAACAGTCTCTCTATTCTCCTTTGTTTTTTGCCCAGGAATTCCTTGCAATCCTGTAGATACAAAAATAATATACTTTGCAGTTTTTATTATCTGGGATCTGATGAGATGGGAAACATATGCAGCTGTCACTCGGTTATCAAAAGCATCATATCTTTGTAATATTGTTACCATTTTTGTAATCTCCTTTCTAATTTTTCAGAGCCAGGTCTACAACAATTACTCCACTGCCAGAAATTAAGTTACCTCAAAAACATACTGATAAAATTGCTCATAGTAAATATATCCTTTCATGTCAAAATGGATGGATTTGGCTTCCTTCCTGATCTGTGAACATAGCTGGGGGCTGCACAACATAATGAAACACCATAGCTCTGCACTTTTCACAACAAGATAAACATCATTCATTCTGTTTAATTTGCCTTTCATTTGCATAAATACTAATGCATAATGAAGTGTTATTTTTTTAAATGAGCAGGGGGGTTTCTAACCTTGTAGCTCATGCCAACTTCTAAAATTTTTGGCATAGATTTTAGTAAGGTGTTGGACAAATACTTTCACTTTTTAATTCTGGAAGCTCTACTCCTCTCCTACTCTGAGCTGTTCCAAGGAATACGGAAGAAAACTTCCAAAGGATCCACTCTCAAATGCAGTCTAAACTTCAGTAATTTAAAGTGTTGTTATGAAAATAAAAGCATACAAATGCAATCACTTCTGGGCCTTTTGGCTAAGATCAAGCACATGCAAATGCATGTGCAGTCGTTATTTCTCAATAAGTATAATTGTACTACTGAAAAGGAAGTGTAGTATACTTTCATTTTCACATCACACAGGAGGGTAGGAGAGAAACACCATGGCTGGTGAGTTTTTGGTTTTTTGACTGATGAAAGGACAGTTCTTAGGGAATAAATAGCTCTGAAATGGTGTGGCTCTTTCTGTGGATGTGTAGGTGAGTAAAATTGAGGGGAAGAGAAGGAGAAGAAGAAAAGGGTTCAGAAGATTCTTAATGGAGTCAGGGTGTAAAGTCCTGTGCTAGCCTGGGATGGGTTTTACTGGAATCAGCTGTTGTTTTGCAATCTTAACTGTTAAGTGTCTAAAGTCTGACAGAGGAAGAATAATCAGAACAAAATGAGTATCAGAAGTTGTAATCACAAAGAAAATGAGTTTTTATTGTTGTATTTTATTTTTCATAGATAAATAAATTGAGATGTGACAGAGTAATCACTGCTTATACTTACTGACAGAGTCCTCAGTAACTCAGTGTTCAGGCCACTCCGTGTGCACAGTTAGACAATGTTCAAGGGGAAAATGTGGCATAATAATAGAATAAGAGTGTACTGAATTCTACAGAGATGGATTATTTACTGATTTACTCTAAAAGAAGCCATTTCCTGTTGATGATCTGAGAGGAAATAAAGCTGTTTTCTTGACTTGAGAAATTTTTGTGCTCCAAACAGATGTGATCTTGCAGGGAAAAAGGAAGCAATTTGTTCGTTCAGTTGGCACAGGTACAATAAATGGTTTGCTGGATGAATTACTAGAGAAAAGAGTGCTGAACAAGGAAGAAGTGGAGATTGTAAGATCTGGAAATGTGATACTTATGGATAAGGCCCGAGCTTTGGTGGATGCCCTCATTGGAAAAGGGCCCCAGGCCTGCCAAATTTGTATCAGTTACATCTGTGAAGAAGATTGCCACCTTGCTGAGACACTGGGGCTCTCCTCAGGTAAGGCTCAATGACTCAGGCTAGAGTTCATATAATGAGTGAACTCTTTTTGCACACAGTATCTTATTTATTTATTGTGAGTGTGCAGATAAATTTCTTACCTCTTTCTTCAGGGCTCCATTTTTTGTGTCAGCAACATTTCTGCTCATTCCCTCTCTTTTTTTCCACGAGTTTGGTCTCAATGGCCTTCTTTTCACTGAAGCTTGTTTCCTATACTGCATATATGGCCACAATTTTCTTGAAGTTCATGAAAATAGTATTTAAGTATCAAACTATTTACTTTAATCCTCAAAGCAAGGCACTTTATTGGGTTCATGAATGTTAAGTCCCAAACTCAATATGGAGTTATGTACTGGTTTGATATGAAGACATGAGGCATACGATCTAACAATTTTTGGAAATTTTCTCCAAAATTTGACTTTCTAGGAAAATATAATATAGTTGAATGATGGTGGACACTCAGAGAATAAGCTGAGTATTTATAGGAAAGTAAAAATTTTAAGTAGTCTCATTCTTTCAGTTGTGTCCTTGAATGTTTTTTCTTATTCAAGATTGTCCACCAGCACAGTGGGCTACCAGGAAGTGAATTATTTTGTACCTCCCAAAGGCTCTCCAGTTATATATCTTGAAAGCCAGAAGTCTTTTAGGTGTTGGCAGAAACCTTTGCTGGTTTGGGCTGAAATTGTAGGTGTTTTCTGTGTTCATCACTGTGCAATGAATTTTATGTTTTTCCTCTCAGTATTTCATTTCCATTTTATATCCTACATAATCCCCTAAAGAAAAAATAATCTAGCAATAATAAGAATCAGGAATGATTGTAAAATAACCAAGGTGTCTTTTCCTTGCTGCATTTCTGACTTTGATTTTTAGAGGTATTTGCACAGCCTACTGTGACTATTTTAACAACAAAGTCTGGCTTTCTAGTAATTAGAGAATGTTTCCTCATTCACTCTTGTTCCCAGGCCATAGGTCTAATACTTGCAGATAATATATAAATGTATTCTAGTAGATGAGGTCTTCTAAAAGAAAGTTCATAGCAGTACATATTGCTATAACAAAGCCCCCTCAAGCAAAGGTTCGTGAATTTTTTGATGATGAATATTGTTCAGCAGTCAGGATTCAAAAGATGGAACAACTGTAGCCTTATTCCTTAGACTTGAAATTTTCTAGGGCATCATATGGCTCTCTTCCATCTGCAAGAGTATAATCTATATTTTTCTGCAGAAAACTTATATTCAATAAACATTATGAAATAAAGTTTTGAAGCATTCCTCATTTTTTAGTTCCTCAAGGTTTCTGGATATATTTCTCAGGTGAGTGTTATTTATAAGCTGTAAATAAAATTCAATTCAATTTTTATTCTTGAATATGATAATACAATAGATTATAGTAGAAATATTGACAAGAGATCTAATTGACTTTATACAACTAAGTAATTTAAGTGTGGATTTCCAAGGTTTCCTCCTCAGAAAATAAATCACGATATTAACAGCAAATTGCATTTACCTGGGAAATTCCAGAGAGCATGGTTGGAGTTCTTGTTCCATATACTGTATAAATGAGCAAAACATGTGCCACCTAGCAGAATAACTTAATTTTTAAGAGCCAAGAATTCATAGTGAAGACCAATTTATGCTTTTGTGCTAGATCTACCAGTTTTATATTCTAACTTGTTTAAGAAGTTTATTTAGTCCTTCTGAGGTAATATTTTAATGAGCTACTGCTTCTAAAAAGCCAGTCCAGTCCACAAAATAACCAGTCTGCTTAGTATTATTAATTTTATTCCTACTTTTGGTCAAATTTACAGAATACTGAGAAGAGACAGCATATAGAACAGACAACTAAATATAGAAAAATGGTCAGGGAACATAATTCTTACAGTGATGTTGCACAGTATTTTCCCATAACACCCATATATATATATCATTACACTAACTTTATGAAATGGTCTATCTATGCCTCAGAAGTCTCTGTGCACCATGGGACTCTCACTACTTCAAAAGAGTTGAGACTATATGAATGATGAATATATATGAAATACTTTTCACAACTTCATAAGGAAGCTTTATTGACTTTGTACAAAAATCCATGATTTCTGGGTCGCAGAAAACATTGTAAGTGGGGTGCAAAGGTGCATGCCCATAGTAAAAACATTCTCAGAGGCTGAGGGAGAAGGATCTCAGGTTAGGCAGTTTGACAATTTAGCAACTTGGCAAAACCTTGTCTCAAAACTAAAAAGTAAAATAAAAAGTGCTGTTGTTCAAAGCTCTGCTGTTCAAAGTAAGATGTGTGCTACTGTTTGTTTCTGTTTAGTAAGAATCTTTTTTGGTTTGTGTCTTATACTCTGAGCAACTACTGTGAAGACAACCATACATAGTATAATAATTATTCTGTTCTCTTATTATTTGATTATGAAATTTTATTTTTTTAAAAAATTGAAGGTCATGGGTTCAATCCCCAGTACCACAAAAAAACAGTTTTAGAAGCAAATTGAAATATCCTATAAGCGAAAGTATTTATTTGACTCATCCTTTACTGGATACAGATATTCCTCTAGCAATGTCATCAACTTATCTCAGTTTTAGAACTTAGTTTCTTCTATAATTTCAGCAGAAGATCGTGTTAATTTTTTCTGCGGTGGCAAATCTCAGTAACAGTAGTTTTCTGAGTACTGAGGTCATGTTGTCAATTTTTTTTTTTTGTAAGCCCAAAACCACCTCTTAGACAGCTTCACTTTGTGCATGCCTGTTATGCACTAGCGTTTACCCCAAGAGCCACTTTGATGTCCACATATCACATGCAGTTTTATCTCCATTGCTGATGATGTTTCAATGCCACTTTCATTAAGGGAGTAATTTACAGACACTTTTGTTCGCTAAGTAAGTGTCTAATGATGAGCGTGTGAAGGCTTTTGTTTCCCATCGCTGAGTGTGTGCTCCCCTGCATCTCATCTTGAACGAGATTATTAGTCCATCATGCCTGTGGATGGAATTGTCAGAGGGGGGTATCCAAAACTTTGAGAAAATTCATCTGAGATCATAAGTGCTATATCATTGTTCTGTATCTCTCTACAGGTCAACAAACTGACAATAACCCTCAAGAAGTATTTTCTTCTTCCTCAGGTAATTGCGTTTTCAAAGAAGCATATTCTTTGAAACCTTACCATCCTAGTCATTAACTTACTAGGGTGAATCCAGAGAGGGTGCACTATGTGTAGTAATTTTCATTGATTGATATTATGCCTTTTTTATCTTCTGAATTTATTCTGCTTTACCAGAAGCTGTCATTGGGCATCACTATCCATATTTATACTAAAAAATTCTGACCCTATGTCTCAAATCATAATTTCTCTCTTGAGTGTCAGATTTTACTATTTCATTGCCTACTAAATATATTCATTCAGAACTCCCTGAGACATCTTTATCTCAACCTCCCCAGAGCTTAATTTGCCATTCTTCCCTTATCCTACTTCTTTTCCGGTTTCTGCTCCCTTGAGTAATGGTTTTACTTCATCATTTGTTCAAACCTGACTTCCAGAATTTATATTTGGTTCTTTCTCATTCTTAACTTTCAAATTTCAGGGAGTGGCTAAATTTTCTTGATTCCTCTCTCAAACCTGGACTCATCTCTTTTTTCTACTCCTACTGCTGTATTTCAGAGGCCCTATTCCTATTGTGTACATTAATTCTCCATCCACAATTCTCACTATATTTTGCTTGTAGTTTTCAAATAAATTTTTCCTTTACCATCACTGGACTTCATGCTTCATAATAAAATTAAACCTTTCTGATTAATTCATAATCATGGTCTCCTCTAACTTTTGTTGATTCATGGTTTGCCATACTATATAGTTGTTAAAAGACTGTTTCACTAAATACAATTTATCAGAATTACTATTTTAGAAGGACATTCAAAAATATTTCATATATTACAAATCTTGTTCTATATACAGACTGTTAACCATGTCTGATAATGAACAAGTCACATAATGCTCCTGTTTTAACTGAACTTCTATGACCACCTAAATGATGAATAAATAGGTATGGAAGCATCTACTATCAAATTAAAGTTACCCCAAATTTAGCAATGGAAATGATAGTGTACATACCTGTATCAGTTAAAATTATGTGGAATCCAATAGAAAAGTCAAATATGTATCCTGATTTATATATGCAGTTTCAGCACTCTGGGAGATTGAGTCAGGAGGATTGCAAATTGGAGCCCCACCAGGGCTTCTTTGTGATGTAGTGAGAACCTGTTACAAAATAAAACATACAAAAGGCCTGGGGATGTAGCTCAGTGTAAAAGTCCTGGATTTAACCCCTAGTACTCTCCAAAATTAAAGCTATCAAACATTTAGAAATATAACTTATACTATACACATCTGTTTCAATTAAGGTAATGCAGGATGGGCCAGGGATTTAGCTCAGTGGTGCCAAGGCTGCTTGGCAAGCGCAAGGTCCCATGTTCGATCCCCAGTACCAAAAAAACAAAAACAAACAAAACCAAAGATAATCCAAAATGTAATATCAAATTCAAATATTTATAGTGGTTCCTATATGATAGAAAATCACATCTTATGAATGAGAATTTCAGAATGGTCATTCATGATCAGCAGGTAGCTCTCCTTCAGATATTAATATTTCTTCGATCTCATGGCTCTGATACCTGCACCACACAATGACAAAAAGAAACCTGTGAGAACCATCCAGGCAGTGACACTGTAAAAATCATAGAAGACAATTTGTGGAAGATTTTTCTAGGCTCAGTCTAGATATGTCTCACCAAACATGTTCTTGCATTCTCTTGGCTAAAACTAACCCTTTGGCCACACCTATGTTCTGGAGTTATTGTTCTTTGAAACTAGCTGTGCGCCAGAAAAGTGTCTTCTGGACTCTGACTATAGACACTGAAAGTGTGCAGTCTCTGCCACAAAAATTTAAGAAAGACTTCTCATTTCACACAGTACTAAGGGTAGGGCAGGGAATGCCTATGTCCCAAGTGACAAGGAACATCTTAAATATGTCTGTGTTCAACCCTTTAAATGCCAGTCTCTTCTTTATTGAAGGGGTCAACACACGCTAGGCTCCTTGGCAGCTAATCTTACTTTTGTAGGGGACTAGCCTCTTTCCTAACAAGTAATCATTATTTTATTGTTTCTTATAAAGATTTTTCACCAACAATTGTGGAATTACAATCCACATGTGACCCTTTTCTCTTAAAACAATAGGAGCTTATGTTTGAAAGAAATTTAGACACCAAGAGAAAAATTACTAAACATTTTATTGGTGATTTTACCATACATGTTTTCTTAGAATGGGATACTCATTATATATTTAAATACCTTATCCTATTACTGGAAAAATAGCTCTCATACAATTTAAATATTTCTACTTTTTTTGGCTATTGTTCTCTAGAGTTCATTATTAGAAATAGAACATTTGTCCCAACAAATGATTATTTGAATTGTTTTCCCCAATACATCCATTTTAAATAGCTCTTATTTTTTCCAGTCAAAATTTTTCTTCTTGGTACCGGGGATCAAACTCAGGACCTTGCACTTGCAAGGCAGGTGGCGGCACTACTGAGCTAAATCCCCGGCTCTCTAGCCAAAATTCTTGGGCTGGGGATTTAGCTCAGTGGTTCTGCTGACTGCCTCACAAGCACAAGGACCTGAGTTTGATCCCCAGTACCAAAAATCAAACAAAAAAAAATACAGTCAAAATTCTTAATGATGCCTTCTTTTACTTGGCTGAGTATACAACAGTTTTTTTTTTTACTTTCCTTTTTAAAATTGATTATGTTTTTAATTTTTACAGTTTAGTTTCTAAAAGATCCTCCAGATATCTTGATAGTTTATTTCTATTTTAAAAGACATAAAGAATAATTAATTTATTTAGCAATTGCATTGCATTGTTGGATGGCATTATACTTGTAATCAAATAAAAGCCTTTGGGATTTTCTCATATTGACTTTGGAAACTTTTCCATACACATTTGTACAATCAGTGTTTTGTGAGATGATTCCATCTAGTATGTACCTAGATTATGCCACTTATCATTCTTCTTTAGCCATTCTATTTGTATATTCAATATTGTCCCTCCTCCTTATATGAGTACACT